TAGAGGAGCTGTCTGGCTGGCTGGAACGAATGGTTGTGTGCACAGACAATGTCAGCACTGAGCAGAGAGCACCCTCTGAGCGGCCCAGCCTCCCCAGCAGGGTCGAGGAGGGGGTTGGGGAAGGAAAGCCTCTAAAGACATTCTTACCCAGATGCAGTCTGTGCTCACAGGTTTTTCTCATCGCACCCTTTTCGGTCAACATTAGTTTTAATTAATCATTATCCTAAAACCGGGAAGCTCAACCTACCATCGTTTTATCCCTGGAGATAAACTGTGGGAGGTGACACTCAGATGAGTTCAAAACAGTGTATGGTGGGTGGAGGCCAGTGGGCAGCAATGGGGGCTGTCACAGGAATGGATTTTTCTAACACCCTTTGGAGGAATTAATGTAGCCCTGTTGAATGGTACTTTCCAACCAGGTGTGTTTCCCTAAGGGTGATACACTTGCAACCAGTGATGGGCAACATGATTGTAAAGATAGTATGTAGATGTCTAGATTTTAATCCTCCCAGGAACCCTATGATGGTGGCTATAGTTAACATCTTACAGACAAGGGAAAGTAACCTAGTATCAGTGGTAATGTTGCAGATCTAGAATTCAGACTCTGGGCTGACAGACTGACCGACCACATGTTTACTCCCAGCTCTACCACAGCTGCTAAAGAAGGCAGGTAGATTATCCCCATTTTATAGCTGAAGCCTAGATGAGAAATGAAGTCACAGAGCTAGTGAGTGCGTGAGCCAGCAACGCACACCTCCAGAGTCATTCTCCTCCTCCGGTGCTAGGAGCAAAAGCAGGAGAACAGCTGCATGCAGAAGGAAATGGCAACCATCGAACAGGTGGCCCAGGACAACCACGAGCGGGCCAGGCACCTGATGAAGGAGCTCAGCCAGATGCAGCAGGAGTACACGGAGCTCAAGAAACAGGTGCACCCACACCCCACGGGACTCAGGCAGAGCTTTATTTCTTCAATAGCTCTTTTAAAAGGAGTATTTCTTTGGGAAAGTCTTGAAAAGCTAATTAATCAAATCTGTTTTTCTAGTTTTGAAATGTAGAAATGTACCTCCAGAAGAAAAAAAGTATTTGTTCAAAATATACTTTTTTTAAAATTAATTTTTATTGGAGTTGAGTTGCTTTACAATGTTGTGTTAGTTTCTACTGTACAGCAAAGTGAATCAGCCATACATATACATATATCCCCTCTTTTTTGGATTTCCTTCCCATTTAGGTCACCACAGTGCATTAAGTAGAGTTCCCTGTGCTATACAGTAGGTTCTCATTAGTTATCTATTTTATACATAGTACCAATAGTGTCAAAATATACTTTTAAAATGCCCTTAAGTTCAACAAGGTTTTTTGGGGGGTTTTGTTTTGTTTTTTTTTGTGGTACTTGGGCCTCTCACTGTTCTGGCCTCTCCCGTTGCGGAGCACAGGCTCCGGACGCGCAGGCTCAGCGGCCATGGCTCACAGGCCCAGCCGCTCCGCGGCATGTGGGATCTTCCCGGACCGGGGCACGAACCCGTGTCCCCTGCATCGGCAGGCCGACTCTCAACCACTGCGCCACCAGGGGAGCCCACAACAAGGTTTTTATGTTAGTTTTTGAAAGAAAAATGGCAGCTCTTCAGCATAAAATTTTATCATGTCCCAAAGCACTGTATTGAAATGTTAGATTTTATGTCAGAAACAAGTCTATAAGAGCCAAACCCCTGGGGAAGGAAAAAATGACCCCCGGGGAAACCTTTGATAACCTGTAATGTTGCCAAGCTGAGGGTGGGAAAGCAGTTCACGCTAGATGGAGAGTCTAACCCTAGACCCCCCCTGGTGTCCCTCAGCCATTGGCAGCAGCTGGGCCACCCAAGAGCTCTAGTCTAGTCAGGCTGCTGGGGCCACTCGGTTGACCCTGCTACACCTTGTCCTTTGGTAACCCTGTGTGGCCATTCAGTTTCATCTGTGCCTACAGCCACCCACCCCCAGCCCTGACACACACACACACACACACACACACACACTCTCTCTCTCTCTCTCTCTCTCTCTCTCTCTCTTTGGCTCAAGAAAAAATAACTGTTTTATTTAAAGGCCCCCCAAGCCTCTGGAAACTTGGAAGGGCAGTTAGAAGTGGGTATGCCTGTCATATCTTCACTAAGCTCTTTATTATGGAGAGAGCCACATAGGGTAGTCTCAGGTCCTAAACACAAACTGTAAAACCTGAGGAAACCTCCAGACTGCTGAAACCACCAGATTCTTCACCCATAAAATGAAAACATTGGACCAGATCTTTTCTAAGGCCCCTTCCAGCATTAACATTTATAATCTAGATCACTTACGGCTTGTTTAGGTAAATGGCCCTTTTCTCATTTGGGTACCACTAAGGTGCTTTGTATAAATTCTCACCTAGTTCTCACATTTCGGGATGCAAGGTATTATCTTCATGTTAAATGAGGTAAGAGAGGTTCAGAAGTTAGCTAACTTGCCCTAAGTCATACTGGTAATGTTTACTAGAAATGAGATTGGAATCCAGCTCTGTCTAGCTCCAGAGAGACCGACTTCTATAGAGTAATGCACCTTCAAGGAACATGGCACCCATGCTTTTCTAAATGGAAGTTGCTTCAGTCAAATGTCAGTAAAATCGTTTACTTGGTAGCTTATAGATACTTGGAATAGCTGAAAAATCACAAGTTTTTACCATTCTATCATAGTAATTAACATTTGTAGGTCTGTAAATACATGACACATGTATTTAAAACATTAAATTTAAATCATTAACAATAACAGTTCAATTCCAGGTAAGTCCCAAACTTTACCTAGTAGTTATTTGACTCTCACTCACTCCTTAGATGGAAAACCAAAAAGATTTGGAAAGAAGACAAATGGAAATCAGTGAAGCAATGAGGACACTTAAGTCTGAAGTGAAAGATGAAATCCGAACCAGCCTGAAGAATCTTAACCAGTTTCTTCCAGAACTACCAGCAGATCTGGAAGCTGTTTTGGAAAGGAACGAAAACCTAGAAGAAGGGCTGGAAAGCTTGAAAGAGAACTTTCCATTCCCCGTGAGTGACAGACCATCACCTTTTGAAGAAAAACTGAATTTTTCTCACGTTCATATAATGGTAAGCGTTTATCCTGCTATTCTGTGGACTTCCTAAAAAGATAATTTGGTTCCCACCTACCCCAGATAAGCTCAAACACAGTTGAGGATAGAAGAGGGTTAGAGGTGGGAAAGGTGGGTTGGTTACTGATGGTGGTGCTTAGAGACTTTGTTTCCCTTTCCCTCTGAAAAAGGATGAACACTGGCGTGGAGAAGCACTCCGAGAGAAACTGCGTCACCGTGAAGATCGACTCAAGGTTGCCCTTTTAAAAGAAAAATACAGTATAAGATACTTGGCATATTGAGGAGACTGGGGGAAATTGCTCTGTTGCAGCTCTCACGGCAGTTTAATAGATTACACGTTCGAAGCTCAGAGAAGGATCTCTTTCTATAGGCGGCTAAAAACAGGTGTCTAGGTCATTGTTGACCTAAAAATTTGGGGGTTAAGAGTTTAGGTGGGAGTTGGAAAATGACAGTGAGTTAGATAGAACAAGAGAGGACAGAATGCAACTTTGGAGAACGGCCACTTACAGCGAGGGCTGAGAAGGAGCCATGGGCAGTACCAAGTGAGTGGAGGCCATTGACATCAAATAGCCTCCAGCCACATATGACTTTTTAAATGTAAATTCACTTTAATTAAATCAGGTTAAAAATTCAGTTCTTCAGTTACCACATTTCAAGTGCTCAAAGGCCACACATGACCAGTGACTACTACAGTGGGCAGCACAGATATAGAACATTCCCGTCATCACAGAAAGTTCTATGGGACAGCGCTTGCTGTTGACTTTAATAAGAGAATCATTTCAGAGGTACGGTGGGGAAGCCAGAACATAGTATGGGGTTGAGGATTACATACATTGTGAGAGACTCTGAAGATATCAAGTATAAACCAATCTTCTGAGTCTGGGCAGTAAAGAGAGAGAGATGAGGCAGTCATTTAATGGGGAGGCCAGGGATGCTGAAATCCTAAGTGTTGTGACAGCAGAGAGAACAGGCTGAGTTAAAGGCCCAGTTAATGACAACACAGAGAGTAGCCATCTGGCACCTCCTTTTTTTTTTTTAAAGGACAAGAAGAGGATTTTCAGCAGACATTCCTATTTTATGATAGTCAGATTTGCCTATCAAATGTTAAACATGGGCTTTCCTGGTGGCGCAGTGGTTGAGAGTCCGCCTGCTGATGCAGGGGACACGGGTTCGTGCCCCGGTCTGGGAAGATCCCACATGCCGCGGAGCCCGTGAGCCATAGCCGCTGAGCCTGCGCGTCCAGAGCCTGTGCTCTGCAAACGGGAGAGGCCACGACAGTGAGAGGCCTGCGTACCGCAAAAAATAAAAAAGTTAAACATGAGGAAGGTACCCAGTGTTAGTTCTAATATGTTCTACCATACTTTCAGGCCCAGCTTCGACACTGTATGTCCAAGCAGGCAGAAGTGTTAAGCAAAGGGAAGCGGCAGACAGAGGGCACTTTACACAGCTTGAGGAGACAAGTGGATGCCTTAGGGGAATTGGTCACCAGCACATCTGTAGATTCCACGTCATCACCCAGTCTGTCTCAGCTAGAGTCTTCCCTTGCAGAGGACTCCCATCTTGGACCAAGCCAGGTAGGAGGAAGCTCTTCACAAGGGGTCTGACTCATGGAAAGTACCTGAAAGCTTTGGGGTCCATAATCTTGAGGAGACTCAGAAGGATATGAATGCCACCTTCAAATCTCTGAAAAACTTGTCTTAGGAAAGACTTGCTTTTTCATGGTCCCTGGGGAGACTAGTTGGTAGATGTATAAAGAGGATAAGCTGATGATTTCAGGAATAGCCTAGGAAACTGGGTGACCTGTCAGGGATATAGTTAATTCTTCTATAAATGCCTTCCACTTCCGGATATCCTTATCGTCTACTTGGTCAATATAAAGAGTTTAGGGAATTCCCTGGTGGTCCAGTGGTTAGGACTCTGTATTCTCACTGCTGCGGGCCCGGTTCGATCCCTGGTTGGGGAACTAAAATCCCGTAAGCTGGGACTTCCCTGGTGGTGCAGTGGTTAAGAATCCGCCTGCAGGGGACACGGGTTCGAGCCCTGGTCTGGGAAGATCCCACATGCCATGAAGCAACTAAGCCTGTGCGCCACAACTACTGAGCCCACGTGCCACAACTACTGAAGCCTGTGTGCCTAGAGCCTGTGCTCCACAGCAAGAGAAGCCAGCGTACCGCAATGAAGACCCAACGCAGCCAAAAATAAAATAAATTAACACCACCAACAACAAAGTTATAAAATCCCATAAGCTGTTGCGGCCCAGCCAAAAAAAAAGTTTAGACCTCTGAAACCAACTTGAGTCCCAGTTTAGTCTGTCCATTTGGGAAGATGACTGTGCCAACTGTTAATCCTCAGCAAAGTTTGAACAGAGTTTGAACTCTTAACTGAGAGTCTATTAGAAAAACCCTGGATTTCACAAGTTTTCTATGACTTACATAAGGTTAATAATTATTTAGGAGGAACATAAAATGTACTCATGGAATCAGTAAATAACACAGTATTACTGTCAGAGATGGGTAATAGCTACCATCTTGTGTGCCTACTCTGTGTGTGTACTAAACACTTTACATATATTATCTCATTTACATCCTGGGAAATAGGATTTATCCCTCTATATAGATAAGTAAATTATATAAAATGAAAAATGTCAAGGTCACAGCAAAAGACAAAACCAGGACTTAGAGGCTAATCTTTCTTTACCACAGAGTGGTATATTGTATGGTTGAGCCATGAGAACATTCAAGGCCAGTTGCATCTTTAGTAGACACACAGCTCGCTCATTAGCAGCAGAGCCAAGATTTGAATGATTACCTTAAAACCTTCCATGGTAGGATCCAAGTCAGATACAGGCCAAAACCATCATGGGCCTCAGGGCAGGCCTTGTGGAACAGTGTGTCAGAGGCACAGAGCATTGAAGAGTACATGACTCTGGAGGTAAGAGCCCAGAATAGTGGGAGATGAGGGCCAGGTTAACTTCTTAGCTCATGGTGGCAGCCAGAAGAGTTCAGGTGCTCTAAATCCAAGAGTAACAGAGGAATGTTTGAGGCTCAAGGAGTAGAGGTGGGTTTGTTAGAATTATTTTGGACTCTGGAGTCGTAATCTAGGTCTACGTGGGATAAGTCTGAACTAGGTTGGAATTAAGAGACTGGCTTCTGAGCCTAATGTTTTCTCTTCCTGCGTTTCAGAGCTCCTTCCAAGTCCTACAAGGTCTGTCACAATCACTAGACAGTTACCGACACTGATGCCATTCCCAGCCTCCTGCTCACAGGGTACATGTTACAGAGTTCTTTTAACCTGCACTTTCAATCGGAAGGTCTTGAATTCTAGTTTATCATATACAGTCTTAAGAAAAGTAACCTTCTGACTTTTCTCTGGGATAATCCCGTACGGTGGTTCATCTTAAAACATTTTTCCGAAGAGGTACTCAGTATATATTTTACCTGTTAGCCATGATGCTATCATTTAATTGTTAACCTAGTTAAAACCTGTTTTTACTGTTGCAAGGGTTCATCCTGACTTTCTCATCTTGTTGTAGGAAAAGAATGGCTCAGCCAGATGGAGGAAAACTGTCTTGCATAAATATGAGGAAATACCTTTTCCACTACCTCACCAACTTCATAATTAGAATGCCACTTGCTTTTTATCATGAACCAGTGAATTCAAATGCTGAAACTCCACTTGTACAATTACCGTCAGGGTTTTTCTAAGTCACCTGTACATATGGGAACAACTGTATACAATTTAAACCAGGGTCTTGGATGGCTGAGGGTTTTTTCACTTTGAAATGCATTATTATAAAACCAATACTGATTTGAATCTATAAACTGGTAAAATCTATAGTTAGAAAGGTTAAAAAAAATGTACTTAAGCCCCTCTTCATTAACAGTGCCAAGTTATTTTTGGATTTTGTTTAAAATCTGTATTCATATAAAAATAAAAGATAAATTTGGGTCTGACATCTGACTTTACACTTCACGTATCTACAGTTAAGCCATAAAATTTTCACCTAAATGTCAGTCTTTCAAGTGAATTTTCCATCTCTGCCTGCAGGTTGAAATATGTTGTACCTATCAATGAATATATTGTATCACTTGAAAATATCTGTTATAAAACTATTATATATACTTCAGGTGCTTTTCCTTAACCAAAAATATTCTGCGGTAGAAAATTAGAACTTTGGACTTTGGAGAATCTGACCCAGTGGTAAATTCAAATTGTGTTCAGTCAGACTTTGTTTTAAAATATCCTCAAGGACTCTTCTAGGCCCCTATACAGCTTTTGAACCGTAACAGGTATTATATTACCATGTTACTATACACAGTATAGCACAGTGAGTAATCTCTCACCACCTACTGAGGTTTATATTCCTAAAAAGTTGTTTGGCTAGAGCTGGACCATTAAGATATGGAGATATGGGATAGGGACTTCCCTGGTGGTCCAGTGGTTAAGACTCCACGCTTCTACTGTAGGGGGTCGCACAGGTTCAATCCCTGGTGGGGGAACTAAGATCCCTCATGCCATGTGGCACAGCCAAAAACAAAAAACGGATACGGGATAAATACGATTAAAGACAATGAAAATGGCATAAAATTTATTAACACATTAAGTTCCAGAAAACATCTACTTCCAAAATAAAACTGATTTGGTAGTTATATTCTTTGTTTCATTTTCACAAGTCTCAGCAAAATGCTTAAAATCCTGGCCTATCCACAATTACTGAAATCCTTCAAGGACGCAGTTTCCTGGTCTGTCCATGTGCTGAATGAGGGTAAAATATTTTCTTTCTAAACTGCCACATGAACCCTCTCTATATTCCCACATGAACAGGAATCATTTGGTCTTCTGTTAAGGGGAGTGAATTGAGCCACACATTTATAAGAAAAGAGAACACTTAAAACATGCGTAGGCGGGGCTTCCCTGGTGGCGCAGTGGTTGAGATACCACCTGCCGATGCAGGGGACATGGGTTCGTGCCCGGTGGGAGGATCCCACGTGCCTCGGAGTGGCTGGGCCCGTGAGCCATGGGCGCTGAGCCTGCGCATCTGGAGCCTGTGCTCCGCAATGGGAGAGGCCACAACAGTGAGAGGCCCGCGCACCGCAAAAAAAGAAAAAAATGTGTGGGCAAGTATTTCCCAAAACTATAGTCTTCTGGAATTAGGTAATTAACGTGTAAAGCCAAACAAACACCCGGTTCCAAAAGACATCTTTCCAAAGAAACTTTACTACTCTAACTAGTATTATGAAAACACCACCAACCCCCACCCCCGCCAAAAAAAAAAAAAAAAAAAAAAATCAAAGTTACCGCATCAAACACTTTATTGTCCATGAAAAATACTTGAACGTCATACTGGAATGTCTAACGCGTAGAGTACTGAGCACCAATTACTAATCAGGAGGGCCTCATAGGTGCAAAAGGGCAACGAGTAACCCAGAAAAGCAGGTGACCACACAAGTAGTAAGCTCTCCATGGATTAAAAATTAAAAGAATTTCACATTCTCTCCAAAGTGTACTTGCCCAGTGTCTGGCACACAGATATTACAGTATGACAATTTGCTTCTCTATTTTTGAGCACCCAAGTTTATTATAGGGGATGACACATGCAAATAACAGAATTTGGCCCCAAGTACAGTCAATGGAGAACACTATCAGCCACCAAACGTGCTGATCTCACACTGAAAAAGGTTGAAAAACACTGCAAGTGTGATCTACACACAAGGATAAGACTAGCTCAATTACTGGGTGATGTGGATTTATACGCTACTTATGTAGACTTTTCTTCTTAAACAAAAAGGACAATTCTGAAATAAAAACTGGCGACTTATGCCAAATAACTGCCTGAAGAAAATATGAAATCCTGTTATAATTCAGAAAATAATGCAAACAATTTTAATTTAATCTAGATACAGGTACTTTATTTACAAATATTTAGATTAACAGCATTTTGTTACATCAAATGAAGAGTACAGCAGTCTGAATAACTCCTGCCACAAAAACAGTTAAGACCCACTGGAACTAACTGGGAAATCAGTGTACTGCACCTAAACAAGCCGCAGTCTTTCGTTTGTGATTGCTACCTTATATCCCAATGGGTGGTTTGTTTTGTTTTTGTAAATATATACACACACCAGCAGGTCATGGTCCCTGGGCAAGTCCCTTGTGATGCAACAGTGTAAGCAAAATGGATCACTGTTAAGTCTTTTAACAGAATACACTGATCTACTCCAGGTATCTTGTTTTTTAAAAAGTTAAAGACAGAAAGGTGAGTCCACAAATTAACCAAATCCTATTTTCTGCACATTCCAGTTTTGGCTTTTATTTAACACTGACTATACAATACTCTGGTACTACCACATGTTTACAACCCAGAAAGCTGTATTTTTTACCTTAGTGTCTGTAAATAGGGATTTAAAATGTGTATTTTAAACACAACAGTTGAGCTGAGAGTGCGTTGTATATAATATACTGAGGTTTACCTATCCTACTTCAAATAACTTCTCAGTTCCCAGCCTGAACCATAAACTCAATTAGAAATCAATCAACAGAAGTAAAGAACTTGGTAAAACGTACGTTTGATTTCTAAAGAAATAAAAGATTGTTTCCCTTGCAATACAGTATTCTGTCAGCGGCCAAACCACCTAGTGCAAAGCAATAACTTACTTTGTATCAGCACAAATACTGGAACACTGTTAGAAACACTTTCCCCTTTACAAAACAATTTATGCCAACATTACATAAAATAGCCCCTCATACTAAGAACACAGGGGATATCTTAGATTATTTCACTGTAGTGTTAAAAATGCACAATTTAAAATCCCTTAACAGCAGACCTGCAGTTCTGGCTGTCTGGTTTAGAATCTCACCATTCCAAGAAGATACAGGTATAAAAGCTTAAAATGTGCAATAATAAACCCAGTCTTTTTTCTTTTTCCATATAGTAAGGCAAGAAATGCAGCCTGTAATGCAAAA